CAATTTCTCTCTCTCTCTCTCTCTCTCAAAGTTTTGAAGACATAATTCAAAATGACAGCAAAAACTCTGTTATTTTATATAAAAATTTAAGACAACATTTATACATTAATTTGGCGCTGAGATAGCAATCAGTTTATATAAATTTGTACCAAAATCTGTTTGAGTGACAGTACCTTAAAATACTAATACATATAAATCAGTGTTTCCTTTGCTCTACAAAAACATACAAAACTCCTATTAAGAAATGATATCCAATTCTTAATCGCAAAACTGTGTGTTTAACTTACTTTTTCTTATACAACAACATATCTATTATAGAGTATATATAAAAAAACGTGTATTTAGTTCAAGGGTTTAATACATTATTTAAGAGAATAAATATATATAACATTTATACACAATTTATAGCGATTGATAAAATACTTTTCTCCTAATTTAACGATTTTAGTGAAGTGTAGTTATAATAAAAATAAAGTTAAATCTAAACCAAAAAATTATAACATAATATATAAAGTAATAGCGAGAAGTGAAACGAGACGTGAATTGTTTGCTCAATGAGTCAAACCATACAATCCATGGATATATTAAAATACATAAACATAAAAATTCAAACAATTTTCATTAGTTGTCGTATTCCTAGTGACCATAATTTCTTAATCATAAGTAAATCGAGTGATTAATTACAAAATAGATTAGATTAGAGGCTATAATACATTAAACATTGAATTATTAAACCAAAAAAACAGACACCAATAAATCTAACACTAATTATACATACAAAACAACTAAATATGACATTTATCTACCCTGATCAATATATAGGTTACGATCCGAATAGTGTACCGAACTTTCTATTGGGTCCGTTCCGGAAGCCTAAGCGGATTCGGACGGCTTTCTCTCCGTCCCAACTGTTGAGACTGGAAGAGGTGTTTGAGAAGAACCAGTATGTGGTCGGCTCTGAACGCAAACAATTGGCCCGCGATCTCAATCTCAGCGAAACGCAGATCAAAGTGTGGTTTCAAAACCGGCGGACAAAACACAAGCGCGTCAAACATGAAGAGGACATCAAAGGCAACGGTATGTCAAACGGCCGCAAATCGCATGACAGCAGCGAAATGATCAGCACCGACGACGAGGACGAAGACATCGATCCCACACATTACTAGTGCCCACACTTTTCCGTTATATTCATCGCCTGTTTCTCTGTTTGTTTGTTTCGCTTAATTTAAAACATAAATCTATATATATTTTTGATAATTATTGATGAAATTATATGATAAATAATTGAATAGCACTTTGTGCGGCGATTTCCCGATGTATTGATAATAATATAACTATTTTTGAATGTTTACCACAAGTGATGAACAAACATAATGTGTGACCAAATTTGTGGTATTATTCATTCAAATGTTTTTTTTTGTTGCGAAACCCATTTGTAATTATATTCACAAAATATTTATAATAATTGTCAGATATTTTTCCCTCAATTCTTTCATTTTCATAAAAAAAATTACTGAAATAATGCATAAAAATTAATTTAAAGCGATAAATGACGATAAATTTTATAGTAAAATAAACTAAATCTATAAATCATTTTGAATGCCATTCCATATCACCACAAATATAGCAGCTTTTTATGCACAACAAAATACAATAATTATAATTATAATAATAAAATTATTTATATTAGTTATATTAATATTAATAATAATACTATTAGTGCTTATATTTTTACATAATTACAAATAGAAAACAATTTATATCATAATTATATTATATCTAAGTATATGTATATTATTATCATATAATTAACGCAACAAAAAGTTATATAAATATGAAATAATATTTTCCGAATGCAACACAAATTTTATGACTGAATATTAATATTACGGCTCACATAAAAAAGTCCTTACAATTTGTCTCTCTGTTTGTTTCATTCATTCATTAACACAAATGCCTGTCAAATATGTATCCTTTAATTACTGTTAACCATAACAACTCTCTCTCTCTCTCTCTCTCTCTCTCTCTCTCTCTCTCTCTCGCTATTAGTTTTTTGTATTGACATTAAAACGAGAAATAAAATTACAACGAGTAGTTGTAACACAAATGTCGATAATATCCTGTAATAACAGATTTAGTGCTGTAATTATTATCCTCTCATTTCAATATCTTATTACAAAATTATATTTATTATTATTGTCTATAATTATCATTGATATGCAAATCAAAGTCTCAAACAATTTAATGCAGAGGAAAAATAATTAAAGGCTTTCCTAATAATATGTATTTTCAGGCACTCATACAAACCCACCGACAATATCACTAAAACACGAACAAAAATATATAAAACAATTATAACTTATTATTAATGCTAGTTCTCAATGGTATTCAATTACCTGTACTTAATTATATAAATGTTTTTTATTAATATATTGTATAGATTTCTAATACCATATTTTATGTTACTTCACAATTCATGCCATATATTAAATAATTAATTAAATTTCAACATTAATTGTATATTTGAAGCAAAATATTGCTGAATTAATATATCCATGGATTGTATGGTTTGACTCATTGAGCAAACAATTCACGTCTCGTTTCACTTCTCGCTATTAGTTTTTTGTATTGACATTAAAGGGAGAAATAAAATTACAACGAGTAGTTGTAACACAAATGTCGATAATATCCTGTAATAACAGATTTAGTGCTGTAATTATTATCCTCTCATTTCAATATCTTATTACGAAATTATATTTATTATTATTGTCTATAATTATCATTGATATGCAAATCAAAGTCTCAAACAATTTAATGCAGAGGAAAAATAATTAAAGGCTTTTCTAATAATATGTATTTTCAGGCACTCATACAAACCCACCGACAATATCACTAAAACACGAACAAAAATATATAAAACAATTATAACTTATTATTAATGTTAGTTCTCAATGGTATTCAATTACCTGTACTTAATTATATAAATGTTTTTTTATTAATATATTGTATAGATTTCTAATACCATATTTTATGTTACTTCACAATTCATGCCATATATTAAATAATTAATTAAATTTCAACATTAATTGTATATTTGAAGCAAAATATTGCTGAAACAAAAACAAAACCTTTTTATATATAGATTTATTTCATTGACACCAGAGAGACAATAATTGTTATGTATTTTTCTATGCAATTTGTGTAAAATAATATTTATATGATTTTAAATGCAGTATTTCTTTTATAAATATATGTAAGTTATATATGAAATTCATATTCTGGAAAGAAAACATTTTTTTGTTTGTTTGTATTTTTTTATTCACATAATAAACACTCATTTTATTTACATAAATATTTCATAAAAGTCTTATTTTTATTGTTAAATGTTTTTTATGTCGTTTTGTTTATCGGATATATAAGTATTGTGTTTAAAGAATAAGTATTTTATAAGTTATACACTTTAATGATATTTGTTTCATATATTATAAATTATAATAATAGCAATAATAATAGACTGCATAACGAATAGGGAATTAAAATTATCATTTCATATAAACTAACACAGCATTAGCTTATGATAAAAAATATTATTAAACACTAAAGACTTTAATAAACTTATAAAACAATTTTGAAAATATAATTGTAAAACAAGTGGAAAAAAGTTTGCGATAACTTCTTATGAACTTATTTTTTACTACAGATTCTCATTATAATGAATGCTTTAATTACATTATGAATAATAATTAACTCTTAAGACACGGACTTAAATACAGTAAAATTGCGGACATTTCTTCCACATTATAATTAATTGTTTGAATATATCTCTGGTTTTTAATAATAATAACATTTTTTATGCTTAAAAGAAATTCTCATTTTATATCATATTTGATTACAACTCAACATTTGGTCCCTAATTAGACGGTATAATAACATTTTCCGTCATAAAACATCCCACCATTTATTATATATTATTATTATCGCATCCGGAAAGCACTCTTCATAGTAGTATCCCAGCTCTCTCTCTCTCTCTCTCTCTCTCTCTCTAATTCAATGTATGTTTTAGTTTTCAAAATTAGTATTCATGTAATAATATGTATAAATCGTGTGATTNCTCTCTCTCTCTCCCTCTCTCTCTCTCTCTCTCTCAGGCGAGCGTATAATCCCCTCCCGGAGGCCCCGTTTTTACCCCCATTTCTTATTAATGTTAGTAGAGCTGAGATAATAATATTATATTATAATTATTGCATTAAACAGTGTATTAGAAACAATTTTTAACATTTTCAACATAAAAATGTAAGCAAATTATAATCAAATACAGCAATGGTTTGCGTATAATTGGCAACAATTCTTCATCTAAGCTGTCATTTGGTGTCACATTAATGTCACCTCATTTTTACTCAAACCTCTTCTTCTTCACCATCTTTGAGGAAAAGGCGATCATTTTATTTGTTGTTAATTCTCTTGAATTAAAATTAAACAAAACATTATGTTTTTCTATCCATAGGTTTAATTGTCAGTTGCATTAATGCACAGACTTTAGACTTTTTGGTACATTAATTATGGATCATTATATGAATGATTATCTTCACAATGCATACCATAATATGAAGCGTTTTATTTTACATAATATATATTTTTTATTGTTTATTGTGTCATAAAAGCTAATTATTTTATACATTGATTATCACTGAATTATAATTAATGAAATTAACCATAATCATAAAATCATAAAACTTTTACATATATATAAATTTATATAAACTAATTATTGGGTAATTAACGATAAATTATAATTTAAAACACTGAAACCCAATTTATGGTAATCTAATAAATTAATAAAATAAAGGCAAACACTATATTACAGTAGATATCATC